TGTGTTTTTGCGCCTCATGTTATGGGATATATGTATTTGGACGACCCAAAACAGGCAAAAGTCTTATGTTCAATATTTTTATGTATGGAGGATAAGATAATTAAAAGTAAACTAAAATAATTTGGTGTTGAAAAGTCTAATTAGATTATGTATGGAGGATAATAGAAAACTTGAGTTGGTTTATAATATTAGTTGGATACATACTATTTTGAAGATGGCACATAGAAAGTTCTACATATTTTTATCACCTTATATGTAATTAAGCACATAGTTTTCATTGTACACAATTAAACCAAAGCCAACAAATAGATCTCGAGGACATGTTATCCCATCTTGTCCTAAAAAATAGCTACAGAAAGTTAAGTATAATGAATGCCAATTGTCTTGAAGCCATAGAAGGTTGGCAACATATCACATCGGACATCTTCCACTGAAGGGACAAAACTACATGCTAAGCAATGTGGTATACATCACATTGGCAATGAGAGTGATCCTTTTGGACAAAGCCTTAAAGAGTGTTCCTAATCAAACACAAATTTGGTTCTCTAATAAGATGGCAAGAAACGGGCACGGAGATGGGCACACTGCCTTCTCAGGGGACAGTCGCATGGTCAACAAAAACAGTATGAGATGAAGAGTCAAAATAGGATGCTAGGGATTGAAAGAGTCGGGTGGTATACAAATTTAAGTTTTCCATTTGAATTAATATCCAATCTCATGTACATTAAAATGACTAGTTTGAATAAAAATATGATCGACTAGATAATTCTCAATATGATATCAAGTTTAAAGTTTGTAAAAAAAGAGTGAAATAAGGTTAAAAAGTATTATTTTAGACGTTCTAATATGATTCAAATAGCCTTAGAGAATTAGGAATTTAAGTGTGACAAGAATTCTTTGTGAATTAGATGTTGTTTTATCTTAACATCTAATTGGTTTGGGATAACTAGAGAGAAATTTATTTTTTTTATTTGATTATTCTCATATTTTTTATGAATTTATTTTTCTTGATAGATGTGTCTTATGTCGAATTTTCTTATTATTATTATTATTGATTCTTTAAAATTTTCTTTTAGCATCGAGTTCTTCTCCCCCGATAAAGATTAATATATATTTGATTAGCATTCAAGAGATTGTTGTATTCAAGTAGTACTCTTATTAACAATGGATGGAGATAGATATCTAATTCTTTGTGTGTGGTCTCAACTTGTCTGACATATCTAATTTGGTTTTGGTTTTGGTTTGCTCTTTGTAGATTAGCTGTTCATTCTCAGTTTCTCTGATTCATATGGAAAGCAATTGATGTTGCCATCTAAAGGTGTGTGGATACCACAGAAGAGTAGTGGGAGGAAAAAGGAGACATTGGATTCATAGTGCTGAAAGCAACAACACAAAGGCGATTAGGCTTTGAAAGCCCACGTGACATTTCATACGTACAAAGGTCGGCGGTCCTATCTTTCACATTTCAGCACTACAAAGGTCGGCGATTCTATCTTTTTTATTATTATTTTATTTTCGATATTAATATCTCGAAGGTTCTTATGCAAGAATTATGGTCGATTTGTAACGAAACTATGCATATGATTTTGAAGACCTCATTTCTAATCCTTTTGTTGAGATTTTTTTATCAACCCTTGCGGGGGTTTAATTATCGAGATTACCTTTTGAAATTGAGATCGTAAAATTATTTTTTGAATTATTTCACTTATTAGTCGATCCCTCAAGATTCATGAACACCTTTGAGATGAAACAATTCATCAGAGTTTGCTTGTTTGGAGATCGATTTGTCTCGACCTTTGAAATAGAGAATGTGAAACGATCAACTAGAGAAAAAGAGAACTATGAAAACCCACGTGACATTTGAGTAGTACAAAAGTCAGCGGTTCTATCTTTTTCCATTTTGTTTTCGATATTGATATCTTGAATGTTCTAATGCAAGGGTAGTGGTCGATTTACAGTGAAACTATGCATATGATTTTGTGGAGACCTCATTTCCGATCCTTTCTTGAGAATTTTCTGTCCACCCTTGTGTGGGTTTAATTATCGAGTTTACCTTTTTGAAATTGAGATCATAAATTTATTTTTAAATTATTTTATTTATTAGTCGATCCCTCAAGATTCATGAACATTCATTGACCTTTGAAATGAAACAATTCATTAGAGTTTGTTTGGAGATCGATTTGTCTCAACCTTTGAAATAAAGGATGTGAATCAGTCAACTAGAGAAAAAGAGAACTATGAAAACCCATGTGACATTTGAGTAGTACAAAGGTCAACGGTTCTATCTTTTTCCATTTTGTTTCCGATATTGATGTCTCGAAGGTTCTTATGCAAGGGTTGTGGTCGATTTATAGTGAAACTATGTATATGATTTTGTGGAAACCTCATTTCCGATCCTTTCTCAAGAATTTTTTGTCAACGCTTGTGTGGGTTTAATTATCAAGTTTATTTTTGAAATTGAGATAGTGAAATTATTTTTTTAGTTGTTTTATGGTCGATCTCACAAGATTGATAAACACTCGTTGACCTTTTGTGAGAAGACAGTTTATGTTGGAGATCGATTTGTCTCGAACTTTGAAATAGAGGGTGTGGATCGGTCAACTAGAGAAAAAGATCTTGCAAGTATTATTGTATTGGAAACTTTTCACCATTTACTTCCTCTACGAGAACTATGAATACCTTAAAAAAAAACTAAGTGGCTTCGATACGAGGATGACACCACCACTAGAGCAATCGTCTTTTAAGCGGGATGACTTTGGTAAGACAGGCAAACATGTTTATGAGTCCTTTGATTGTGTCTATGGTCATTAGATTCTTGTGTTGAATATTAAATTTTGATGATGAAATTAATTAATAAATTTATTGGACTAATATGCTTTTTAAGATAAGTGATATAAGAAAATACTTTGATCATAAAATTTTTTTTGTATATATGCAATGATAGACATATGTGATAAATAAAAGAATAGTAAGATTGGAGTTGAGTTTCATGTTATAATAAGAAAAGTATTAATGGACATAAATTAACAAGTGTTCGAGTCTTTCAAGTATAAAAACATACACCCCAATTAAAATTTAGAGAGAGTCGGATCCACATCTGAATTGAATCGGGTCGGATCATAAATCACCAAAATTAAAACCACCTTCGATTGTCTAAAACTGAATGCTCACCGAGCCATCGTCACTTAGCGGGTCGGGTCGAAACCCGAAAGGAATCGGGTCGGGTCATCTGCTCGACGGCTTCCTTCCGCCGGGCCAAGAGAGGGGCTCTCCCAGGACTCAGATGAGCCGACGGTCTTGCGCAGGGCGGACTCGGCGGCGTCGCGCTTCGACCTCGCTTTCGTCTCTTCCAATCCGCGCAGTTGGTCCACATGAAGGCATAGCTTCGGTCCGAGCACGATCGACTCGCCTCCGTGGCGAATCCGAAGCCTCTCTTCCCTCCCGGTATTCGCCTTCTTCCTTTCTTGGTCTCTGTGCGGTAGCTTCAGATGTTATCAAACGATCGTGTGATTGAAACTTATACATGTCGATAATTTTTGGAGCGACCGAGTTCTGACTTAATTTGAACCAGAGAAACTTCTAGACCTGCTTGTTGCATGATTCTTGCACTCGATTGTTTGTATTTGTTCCTTCCAGCATAAAAAACCTATTCCTTTGAATGTCCCGTAGATCTTTTACATTTCTTTTAGGCTTCTCATGTGTTTGGTGGATTTCCCGTTTCCGAAATGTCTATAGGGCTAACCCTTTTTCAAAAAGGTACTGTTACCTATCTAGCCTTTTGAACTTTGGAAATATTATACTTGCCTCTACAAATTTTCATATAGCATATGCATCCTTCGAATGTTTAGTTACTTTACTTATGTCACTCCCATTAACATTGATTCAATAAAGATTGGTTAACTATCACTAGCCGTTGTCACTAGTAGATAACTTGTTTCTAAGACCTGAATTATCATTTTCTTCCCCTTCAATGCATTAGGCTTTGCCTTTCCTTTTCTCTTCCCATCTCGTCACACACTTTGATCTTGAAAGACTAATTAATATTTGAAGGATTATCTCTAATATTGAAAGAGAGTTATTTGGAGCTGGCAAACACTACATCAAAGAAGAGGCTCGTAGAGGAGCCACCCAATCTGATGGGTATCGGTGTGACTTGGGAGTTCTAAAATCTTTATGCTAATGTTCAACTAATGGATATCAATTCGAACAACATGGCTTCAAGCTTTTGAGTGTTGTAGCTATATAAATAATAAACTTAAATTTAGAGGGGTAAATATGAAAATCAATAACTTTGAAGGACAGAGCTTGATTATAAGTAGGATTCTAATTAAAATTTAAGAGTAATTGTTTTCATGACTGGAAAACTAGTTACTCAAGATTGAGAAAAAGGGAGGAGAGAAGAAGAATAAAGGGGAAGAGAAAAAGATAAATAGTAGAAAGAAGAAAATAGAAAATACAAGAGACTAAACAGATTATTATCAAGTGAAATCCCTATATTTTAAAAGTTTATGTATTTAGTTTATCTGTGTACTCTTTTCAGGCAGTTCCTACATTTATATACTCAAATCATGCTGCCTGTTTCCACTTCTGACAACCGAGGTTTGGACAACATCTATAACTGTTAGTTGTAAGATTCTTCTAATATTATTGAATATGGATTGTCCTTTAAAGCAGTTGCACTTTGTGAGTGCACTTAATGTGTTTTGAGGATTTCATTGTGATCCCACTCGCACTCTCATATCTACCACAAAGAGCAATTAGCTATTTCAGGTATGAAATTAGATATCCTTCTGACTTAAAAAGCATGTAAAATAATTAAAAGCTTCTAGCAGATGCGGTCCATGATGACCAGAAAAGCCATCACGAGCTCAGTATCCATGGCTGGCTGAATGATCAAGTTGAACACATCATCACTCAATGTGACTGACTTGTTCACCTTCTTGGGGCTTATTTGTGCCACTTCCTCTCCCTTGCTGTCCAGGATCTTGCAATTTCTTCTTTTGAAGCAGCCTTCAGTTCTGAAACTGGGCACTGGTGATTGGTCATCTGGAGTGTCCATGAATACCTCTGCCTCCTCACAACTTTGAAGGATTGACCTCCTTCTCATGGAGAACACATGAGTTTTGTAACTTGTTCTCAAGTCATCTTCGCCTTTGAATCCGCTCCATCTGTCATGCATGCTCAAGATCTGCTTGATATGTGATAGGCTTAATAAGAAATAATGATTGAGAAAGCTGTAGCATTCTCTTTAAAAATTTACATTAACTAATTCATTTTTTGAGGCATATTTCAGTATCATGATGCCATCCTTGCTTTTAGTTACCTGCATAAAGAATATGGTTTCTACTTAGAGCCTTTTGAATTGCCAATTATTTCCCATATTGATTCCTGGAACCAGTCTGCTGATAAGGTAAAATTAAATTTTGTGTAAATGTTCAGATGTTTGATGCAGTTATAATTATGATAAGTCACACCGCTACAAAATAACAATGAAGTTGCATCAACATAGATATAATTTAGTTGGGATGTACATATGAATTTTGCTACTGAATGGATTTTCATTCTGGTACAAATTGAAGTGTTTTATTTGCCTCTAAGCTAGTCAGTGAACTAGAAAAAAATATTTTATTAGATAGTAACACTATTAGCTTAATTTTAACAATATATTATGGTATTTGATTGCAATGTACAATGTTCACCAGGTTTGGTGTCCATGGATATTTCTTTTGTTAACCAGTCATATCGTATGATAGCGACTTAAGAGTAGAATTGTTTTTGCTTAAAAGGTAAGGCTTCTTTAGATCAATTCTAAGTACATAAAAGCAAGGCAAAAAAAGATCTGATTTAGGTACAAATACCTTTAATTGTAAGCTTATTTACCTTTTGGTCACTTATCATTTTAGTTTTTGCTTTTAGCTGATTATGAAATCTTTTTTCTAGGATTTGATAAAGTGATAGAGAAAGGAGAAGCAAAGGTTAATATCTAGGATAATATCCGAAATCAATTTGATCCCAAGGTATCTCATTTGAGGTAGTATTCTGCGTCACAATAAATGTGTTTCATACATCGTTCTAAAAAGTATTCTTATGGATGTAGCATAATACTACTCACACATATTGTGGATAAAAGAAATTTTATTTATTTAACCATGTTTGTTATTATAAACCTTTCCTGTTTTATAGACCCCAATTACAAGAAAAATAGAAAGAAGAAAAACTAACAGGATAAGATAAAATACAACTAAGAAAATTATATCCCCTGGATCAAGAGTAATCAATCTTCCTTTTATCTTCGGTAAAGATACTTTTCTAAATTTGTGTGTTAAATAATTTTTTACTTTTAGAATTATATGATTGATTTTGACTTTCTTGTTGATATAATCTTCAATCATGCCTTTACTCTTTGGATATAATCTTTAATCAAGCTCAAATTTCATCTTTTCTTTCATTTTGGTTTGGTTTTTTTCTCCTTGGGCAATCAAGGTACGTAAAATAGAGATCCATAAGTTGTGATGTGCAAACTTATTACATTTACAAATATCCTTCTAAAGTACCAAAGATAAACTAAACAAAATAACTTCTGGATCAACCATGGATGCACCTTTTCTTTATATTTTTAAACAAGAATATCAACAGGATTTTATATGAATTTTTTTATGGATAAATGTAGATAAAATGGCTCATAGGTGATCACTGATAGCAAAGGAAATTGAAAATCTGCATCTACTGGCTTGTTTATTTATTTATTTAAGCTGATTATTTATTTTTAAACTGGATTTCCCATGAGATCTCTGATATGTATCACCTTTACATGTGAACTTAAGACATTTTAGAGGACTAGATGATTTGGCTGAGCTTTGGTTGATACAAAGACAAAATCAGAAAAAAAAACAAATAATAAAATGGATGGATATCCTATCCATCTTGGGGTCCAAATTTGTCTAGCTGATTAGGCATCAAGCAGAGATTTATGTCAACCAAATATGAATTGTAATCCAATAATGATTTGGCAAGGTTCTATATATGTCAATTTACTATGTTTAATAGGATAATTTCATGTAGGCTGCTGTCGTTGATTGGTTATCACATAGCCAACCTTCTCTCTTTGTTAAGAATGGTTCTCTTTAGCACTAGAGACATGCCTGACTTCCATGTTGCACAATTGTAAGCTTTTTTCTTAACCACTACCATCCTATAACCAGAGAAAAGCAAAACAGAAGATAGAAGAAACCAGATCTTTGTTCCCTACCTGAGGCCTCAGAGCCATCACTGCCTTCCCATTTCCATCCATGAGCAGGAGCTCTCCTTCAAAGCACTTGTGCTTCCTTGAATAATTGTCGACCCGAAAGGCTAATCTTCCCTTGTTATCATAAATTGAGAATCCATCTGTTCCATGGAAAGCCATGCTTGACTTCTTCCAAACTGTCCACACTGATGGATAGTTTGTCACTGTTGCAAGCTCTTCATCATCAATCTTTCTCAGTGAAGGATGAACCCGAGACATTTTTCAGCAATAGCGGGGTGGAGAGAAAGGCTGTAAAGGAACTTCTCTTATGGGCTTATTATATATGTAGGCTTGGAAGTATGGAGTGAGGAAGTAGTGAAGGGATATCACTACTTGATGGACAAAAGATGAGGTACCCTTTTATGGTTATAACACTTTTTAGAATTAATATGAATATATTTTTTAGCGTTACATAGGATTTGAACTCTGTAATGCCAGAGCTAACATGTCATTATCATGCAGAGTAGGGCAATGCTGCAGGGATTGAGATTCTAGTAGTATTTCTAATAGGCCGAAAGGGGAAAGCATGGTACTTTGGTATATTGTGAATCCAACCACCCTCTGTTTTCATGTTGTGGTGAACTGGAGGCTATGTTCATGTGAGCAGAAAAGGCAAATGTTCAATTATCCTTTCCACAAAATGGTACTTTGATGGCTAAATTCACTAATCAATACTGTATATAATATCTGGTAGTTCCAAAGGGAATACCAGTTAAATTTGCAAAATAGGTGACTTATATTCCTTGTTATGTTCTTAACTGCTGACAGCATGGACACATTTGTTCTTTTGGAAACATGACTGAATTTGAAACATGTAAACTCTAAAAGTTGTTTCATATAAACATAACTGACTTCATTAACCATGAAAATCATGATTATGTCTAAATTCTATTTCTTTTCTAACAGATGATGCTTTACAAAGTTGATGGTAGACATTTGCTCTTCATTCTTGGTTAGAAATTGTTTAAACAAAATAGAAATCAACAAATATAATTGGTTTCATAACATGGCATATTTTGAGAGGAATAGCATTTAAATTGTTCAAGTAGAAATGTAGGTTGGTAGAAAGGTAAATTGTGTAAATCTATCAAATTCTGTGATGATCTCTTCCAGGGCCTACAAGGTAATTGACAGCTGCCGAGGTGGGACTATGGGAATTTGCAAATGTCACAAACTTCGTTGGCTTCCATGAAAGCAGAGGCAACTTACAGATGACAGATAAGACAAGCTTACAGATCATTAGGCTTTGTTTTCTCACAACACTTGCATGACTGACAGAGATGCCATCTTATTTGGTTGCCTCTAGAAAGTATTTATTATGTATGGCCTCCTTCCCTAGAGCTATAAAAAGCAAAATATAAGTAGCTCTTGGTAAAGTTATATTTCTGAACAACTAAGATTATGCTGATGGAGAACAGCTAAAAGAAGAGTTTGCTCAGAATCAAGCCTCGTGACATATCTATTTCAGAATCATGCTTTTAGAGTACCTCTTCTAATGTGATATAATTGTGGGAGAAGTGGTCATTGCACCCACTTGTAGTACAACTTCATTTAATATCATTTTTATCATCCACATGGTATCTTTTTAATTAAGGCCCTTAGAGAACATTATATCTTGAAGTTTTTTCTCATCCACCTGAGCTGCATATATTTTAGGGGCAATTATATTTGTATGCTTTTAAAAGTGAAAATTTCATGTCTACTTCTGTAACTATGCAAATATTCGTATGTATCCATATAAATGGGGTATGTATTTGTTGTTAGATTCCTGCATATATTAAACCCATTATATCTGCTTAATTATGATATGTTAAGATTTATTTAATTTAAATCTTGAAATACCTAAAATAACCTTGTTCCTGATCTCTTTTACATTTGTTTTTGGTCTTGCCCTATCTTTTCCTTTCTTTTATTGTCATTAACCCATTTTTATCCATCTCTGTCGTAGCTTTGCAGAAAGAAATTTCCCGAGGAAGGAGACCAAATAGATACGAGAGAAGAGGAAGCAAAGGTAAGGTGGAATGGAGAAAGTGGTAACAGGCGATGACATACAAGAGAAATAAAGATGGAACTTTACATATCTTCCATAGAGTTTCATAGAGAACAAATACAAATTATTTTTTTCCCATTAAACATGCCAAATTACAATTAGGAAACACAGGTGTGGTGGGAAGATTCAATGCCGGTTAGAAACATTGTTTACGTTATTAATGGTGATCTAATACTTCAAAGTGTACTAGGATTTTTGCTGCCTGCAATGTTAGATCGACCTTTTTCTTTATGTAATTTGGACTTAGCTTCATTGGAGTTTTAGATAAAATTTGCAAAGTTTCTTCCAAGTTCAATGTATAGGGAAAGTTAGTGAGATTAAACTAAGCAATCAAATCTTTCATCAGCTCATCTCTTTTGTACTCACTGAACAAACCAGTCATCCAAGTCCATGTAATTAGGCCAGCATTAGAGTATAATAGAAGAAAAACGGACAGCGAGACAAAAGCTTAACAAGCAATTAGGAGAAATGCCGTGCTCATGCTTGTGGCTGTTCAACACCAGAGTCTCTTCCTGTGGATTCCAGGAAACCTTGCAGCTTAAACAATGGAGACATCCGGCAACTTGATACCAACAACCACTTTGATTTCTTCTTAATCTTCCCAGACTAGTAGTCCACCACCGTGAAAAGAATGAGCAGGAAAAGGACATGCTCTTGTGATGCGTTTGGATTTGGATTAGTGTGCTGAGGATGCAGTGAGCTGCTGTTGTTGTCTTCCGAACAACAACGTCCAAAATGTAAGTTGACAACTGCATGTCTGCAAGTCTCAAGGCCTGCAAACACAAATGCAATGCAATGCATGCTTTGGTTTACTCTCTCCACCCTTCACATTCAACCTGGGGCTCAAATCTTAAAGGAAGAGGATTCTGTATTTTTAGTAGCAAGGTTTTAATCTCCATCCGTCATCGACTGCTATCATGGCATGAAAAAAATACAAGAATAAAAATAATGACATTGAATTAATATCGAGTTACATGTTTCAATCAATATTCCAACTGGAGACCGAAAGATCGCTGAAAAGAGAGACAAAGACAGAGAGAATTTGGTGGATATAAGAAAATATTCTTGGGTGAATTCTTGCAAAAAAAAAAAGACAATGTTTCTGTATAGGCTTACAGTGTCAAAACTATTATAACCCTACTTTAAAACAATATAATTAGATCAGTTGATCTAATGGACGGCCCAATAATCTTATGGGCCGGTCCGATGCAAAGGGCGAAAGTCTTTTTGGCTCTTCCTTTAAGAGGTATTTTAAAATTATAAAAAAATTATGGTATTATTTTTGAGAAAAAAAAAAAGAGGTAACAACCGAAAAAAGTCCAAAATAAGGGACTTTTCTTAGCAATTAATCTGATAATTTTTTCCGATAAATTATAATATCTTTGCATACACAACACCATTTATCATGTATCTATGATAAGGTTCACACATATTTACATTTACATGATCTATTGATCTTTCATTTCTCATGCACCTCCTCGTACTATCTCTTCCTGATGCTATTTAATGAATGTTAAATTAACTTTTATTTTTCGAACAATTCCATTCTAATTGTCCAAACATCCGTGGCCATCCAATTCTCAAGCACAAGGATCTTGAAGGAGCATGGCCCCGAGTTGTCTCTTTTGTCCATGGAATTCTGATATGCGCTCTCCGAGGTGATTGATTGCTTATTTCAAGAAGATAACGATGTTGTGTCTTTACCTATATTTCTTCTTCGCGTTGTTTAGCCTCCGGATAATGGATTCGAGTGGTCGCATACCTTCGACGAGTGTTGATCGAGTCTTTAACATATACGAGATGATTGGATTATATCACTATCGTATACGTCAATATATTCTCTGTTCCCAACTCTTTTAAGATGATAATTTTGTTTTCTTATCATCCGGTACAAGAAGAGAAGGAACTAATAGAGTGGGTGCCATAATTACAATAGTGTATATGTAAAAAAGAATCTATAAATTGAAGGAAACAATGTGTCTAATCATTACATTTTGATTTGATTAAAGATAAACAAACAGTATAGATATGCTTGATAGGGATCTCTAATACCGAAGTTAAAATTTTAAGAAAAATATATATAGAAATTTAGGAGTTATTATTATTTGGAAAGGATAACGGATAAAGATAACATTCGATTTTAAGGTCAAATTCTTTATCTCTTTGATTGGTCAAAACTTAATAAGGAAAGAGAGATACTTAGCAAGGATTTCAAAAAATTATAACTCAATTGTAAAAGGAGTGGATGTTGGAACTGGAATAATTATAAACAAATTTCTTAATAATTTTTATCTTTCTAATAATATATTCTCTTAATTGTTTTAAATTGTTAGATATTGTTATTGTTGAGTTTTAAATCTTGATGATAAAATCAATTGATAAGTTTATAGGATTAATATATAAGTGACATAGAAAATACTTTGTTCATGTACTCAACAATTAAAGGATCAATTGTCGAAGTAGGAGAGTCAAATATTGTGTCAAAAATTAAACGTCGAGTCAAAGGATTGATCGACATGTCTAAGATCAGACTTTATGCTAGAGATTTGCACATCATACCGAAGGGATTAGATGTTGAATTAAAAGATTAGATATCGTGAAAAAGTTAATGGGAACAATGATTTCTAGAATAAAACTTCATAATCAAGTAAATTCAAAATAAATTGTATTATTTGACTCAATGGGAATAATAAAGATAACATTTATTGTATTGTTTTCTTTTGATTCAATTAAATAGTTTTAGCCATTTCAACTGTTCTTTTAATTTTATAACCACTTTGATATTTTTATTTTCTTTGTGGTTGTTCTTTTTTTTTCCCCCAAAATGATTACAAATAGAAGGCCTATAAATTGAGGCTTACAATCTTAGTTTTGGGTCATCAAGCCAAAAGAAAGTACATCATTTTATATTTCAATTAAATATTCTGTGCAACTTAGATTTTGGACAATAATTACACTTTTAGATTCTTTTTCCAATTTATTTAATTCCTGTTCTTATTTTGATTAAATATGTGTAATTTTCACTTTTGTTCTAACAAAAGATTCCAAAGCTTACATTCAAAAACTATTTTGGCCATATCCAAAATGACACCCTCTGTCATGTACTGACAGAACTATAATCATTATAAGGCATTTTGTTGTTACCCACAGAATGTGTTTCTTCACAGAGAGACAGAGAGAGTATAGTAATTGACATGGTTAATGGAATTAAAGCCCTAACAATCTCCATGTAATCCAATATTTGGATCACAACTTTGTATCCAGGCTCAAAAGACTAATTACCCAGCAGCCTCTTCCTGCACAATTTCTGGATCATGTTTTCCATCTTCTTCTCACAGTTAGTAAATTGAAAACAGGATGAGTCTTTCGCCATCTTCTTCAGAAGATAAGAGTTAGCTGATGACAGTAGAATAAGACAAGGGTACAATATAGAACAACGTTAAGGTGCAGAACAACAACCACAATCTCAGAGCAGTGGAGCAAAATATCTTCTTTGACTGTACTCACTGTGCCTTGTTTTCCACTGCCAAGTGGTTGCAAGTGCTTCCACAATATATTACATACTTCTAAGAGGTATCCTATCAAGCACCAAAGAGTAGTAGTACGACACATTCTCCTAGTGTTTGAGATCTAAGGAAGAAGGAAGAGTGAGAGGTCCCACAGGCATAATTTTGTTCTGATGCAATATCTAAGATGAAAACTCCCAGTGTTTGAGATCTATGGAAGATGGAAGGGTGAGATCTGCAGCCACAACTTAGTTCTAATGGATCATCTGAGCTGAAATCTCAAGATATATATAAAAGAGTAGAACTAAGGTTTTACAGAAGAATCTCTCTCTCTCTCTCTCTCTCTCTTTTTCTAAATCATGTAACAATGGACAGCACATGAAGTACGGGTCTCAGACTGAATAATTGCTCCATAGGACAAGAATCTCAAGCAAGCAGCTATAGACACTTTCCTCGTGATTCACTTGCCAACCAAAACAAAGTGAAAACAAGCCAATGGTAATAACAGCAAATAGATTCAAAGAAGTAATACAACAACAACAAGAAGAAGAAGAAGAAGAAGTACTCCAAATCAAACCATTTATATTCTAAATCTAACTTCATATCCAGTATCAACCACTGTTTGAGTTTTGTGTGTCTACCTTGCACGGCCATGCGGGAGCAGTCACTGGCAGGAGGTGCAGTTGCAGGTCTTGGGCACGAAGGCGCAGACGCCGAAGGGCTTGTCGGGGAGATTGCAATCGATGCCGAAGCAGCAGGGCATGGTGGAGCAGTTGCTGGCGTTGTTGGCGGCGCAGCACCGGCAATCCAGGCAGAGCTGGAACGGCGTCAGCTCGCGGGCCGCCGCCGCCGCTTGTCGATGCTGGATCGGGGTGGCCGTCGTGTAGTACTCCATGACCGGGTGCAGTTCGACGTCGGCCGACACTCCTCCTGCATGCAAGCGAAGTGATGAGGAATGATTGGTGGCAACCGAAGTAGGGAAATTTAGGGGCAGCAATTGCCTTTGGTGGGCAAAGTGATCAGGAAGAGTTTGAGAATTAACATGAGGTTGAGGTTGGTGGTGGGATTGCTCATGTTTGACAGATAGAGAGAGAGAGAGAGAGAGAGACAGAGAGAGAGGTTGTAAATGATTATAGTATGTTGAAGGGGAAGAAACTGCTCGATCCTTCTCTCTCTGCCTCTCTGAGATGATCTCTTTCAGCAAATTAAGGATGACTGGTTTTGGGAAAGAGAAGATGGCCATCGGGGGAACTACGCGTTAAATGACAAAACTGCCATTGCATATTTATTACTCTTAACATTTATAAATATATTGACAACTTAAGCTTCCGCTATTATCAGAACACTTAATTAAAGTATCTATAATCGATACTTTTGTAATCCTTTCCCCTTATTTAATTTGCACTATTTATTTGAGCTTATTCCGAACCTAACAGTTTAAACTTTTGAGATTATCGATCACTTAATCAAAATATTCGTAATTAAGTTTCGCCTCTTAGATTTGGAACACGAAGTTTCTTAAGAGTACGAAAACTCTCGAGAAAGGTCCGATCTATTTATAAGCGTTAATAGTTACCTAAATAATTTGAAATCATCTTTCAACTTTTTCTTCAGCACAAATGAGATAATTATGATGATAGCATGATCACAGCGTCAACAGTCAACCCCTCTTTAACTCACCTGATTAATGATGTTTATATTTATGTAGCCTTCTTGATGTCACATCTCCCTGATGATAAGCCACAAGAGAACACCAAGAAGAAGAAGAAGAAGAATGATGATAAACAACAGTATACATGTGATTTTGGTTCGAAATATCTTTCTTTGACTTCTTCCAACAATCCTCTGCAATTTTCCAGTCACGAGTTAAATTCTGAATGCCTGCTATGAGCTTTCCATATAATTAACATCAATGTTGCTTGTATCACACAAATTCTTTTTCTCACCATGTTTTAATTGCAGAGAAAAGAGTGTACAAACTGCTTGCTATTTAACACTTGATGCAGCTTCCAGTCATCTTGCTGAAACAAGAGAAAACTTTGGACATATTACTCTCATTGCTACATCAAAAAAATACACAGTCTATTTGCACTACTGCCTTTGCATTGTTTTTGTCAAGCAGTGATGTGGTAATTTGTAACTTGAAATGTGCAGTTTTGAGAGAGATGCAAAGTTTTGATTAGCTATTATGCTAAGAAATGAATAATAGTCAGTGCAACTACCTAAATCTTAGAGAACACTATACAGAAAACTCTGTATTTTTGTAAAATTATTTTCTTCTTCCATCTCAATAATTGCCATTTTGGATTTTGTCAAAAGTCTCGCTAATTTCTTTGTTTCTTGTTTTTTTCTACTTTTGTTTGAATTTCTATATCTTGTTCAAGGTTTAATAATGAACCAACATGCAGAAAAAGAAGAAATCCTTCAAGGCAGAATGGTCAGAAGAAGAAGAAGAACAAATTGCATCAGTATCACCTACCATTCTGTCCTATGACAAGCTAAACTTGTTCATGGCCTGCGTAACAGCACCTTGGAAAAGTTTGGAGTAATCCAAAGAAGCAGTCTCAAAGTCAAAAGACTGGTGAAAACCCACTCACTAAAGAGGCAGCTCAATGCCAGTTCAGTAGTCACTGTTAGATGTTCTCTTTCCATGTTGACAATGACCACAAGTCATGTTCTATAGCGAGGAAGAAAGCCAAAAGATTAGGTGATTAATTAAGATTGAGGTGCCCTTCGTTGCTTAGAAAACCATTTCTCTCAGAAACAGAGAAGGTTGAGCAAGTAATCTGGCCGCGGAATGATGTGATAGACTTTAATCCGGATGGCTGCTGAAAACTAATTAAGATTTACCTGATGATTTGAAGCATCATACAATATCCAAGGCTGGATAGTTAGATGATCAAATTCTCTTTCTATCTTTGAAAGATGTGTTCGTCCGACAGATACAACTTTGTCACTCGCACCGGTCCCATTTCTGAATTTTAGCACAAAGCAAGAACTATCCAACAGTATCAATCTCGAGGGGAGAGAGAAAAGATCAATGGCTAAGTCAGATCTCCACGCCTCCTCCTGTAAAAAAAGGACCACAGTCCGGTGTGTTCCTTACAACAAATTGCTCAACTCAACTGAATAGATCTTTCAAGATGAACCCTAAAGAGAAAAGAGAGAAAAAAACACTAGCATCATGAATAGAAACTCTTACTCATAGCTTTCCTGTTATGAAAATATTCTTATGAGGATATTAAAGAAAATTTCTGATTCGTAATATCGTGGTAGATTTGACTACTCTATTTTAATAATAAAAACGCAAGCGACTAATCCGGTCACGATATGATTAGAACTTTGATCTTGATGGCTGCTTTAGATAATCATGAATTTGGTATTGATGAATACCCATTGACTTAGTAGATGTAAGATAGAAGGTAATGGTGGAGAGAGAAGATGGAAGATGCTGTCCAAGCTAAACATAGTGATGCTTAGCCCACCAGGGATCAGTGGATAAGATTCCAAGCTGCCAACAACCATTGTTGATTGATGTGAGAGAATAAGAGGACCATGTCTGGTACAGAACCCTATGTGGATCTCTTTTGGGGAAGATAAAGCTTTAAGTCATTGTTAGGATTGAGTAGGTTTCCATGAGTGAGACTGATACTGGAATGCTTGTATCCTGGAGGAAGTGTCAACACCATGCCCTAATGCCTGTCACTCAACTGATCCATCTGGATTAAGCCTGGATTTCAAGTTTGAGAAACACAAGTTTGAAACTGGTTCTTCAAGCTGTCAAGGTAATATATTGATCTAGAAAGCCAACTGATACATGATGAGCAAACATTTTTGCAACTTAGACCTGATATCAACAAGACAAATTGAAGAAGTTAAAGAACAAGGAATGATTTATATGGGTTGTTGTATTCATCAACTGGAAGGAACGATCGACACAGAGTCAGAAATTAATAGTGATCTCCTGATGAGGGAATTCAGAAAGAGGATGAAGCAAGATTTTCGCAATATGAATGATTAGGATCAAACAATAATTAGTGACAAAGAAATGATTAGGATCAAACTTGATGGCTATCGTCAAATGATATCCAAGATCAGATGGATGAAGTGGGAAGTTGAACATTTGAGATGTCAATAACATGGGTATAAGCTGTTAACAAGGACAAGAAAGCATTAATATTGGAACATATACCTATCAGAAGCAGGGGAAGAATAGAATCTGATCTGCTGCTCTTGGTTTCTAAAAGTCATCAATAAGAAGAAAACAAGGACTACTGAGAGCTGAATGATGAAAAGGGAGAGAATAAAGGGAAGAACTTTATGAGTTGGAACCAAATTGAAGCTTCAGCTTCAAGCTCAACTTGATGCACAATTCATTCAGAAAATAATATATTGCAGGTACAACTTGGTGAAGAAAAATATTCTTATTCTGGTTGTCATACATGCAGGCTAACACATACCTAACAAATAATGTGGGGTGAGAATTTGGTCCTAAAACTAAACCATAATACTTGATAGATTAAAAAAAAAAACTATAGTAGTCTTCACTAGATTCATACAGAATCTACAGGGACAAGAAAAGAAAGACCAAAAAGAGCCTTAAAAGCCCTCATTATTTGATTTCAGAAGGTTCGACGGAAAGTATATGAAAAATTAGTAGGGTCTGAGCTGGGATAATTAGGAACTCAATAAATTAGCATGTACTCATAGCCCTAGTGAGAAATTTGGGGTGTCTGCGGCAGTGCAATGGAAACAAGCAGCTATCACATTAGATGGAAATAAAATGGTGGAGAAGATGCAGCATCAATCATCATTTGAAGAGGCAAAGATTACAAATGAAATTTAGGAAGCAAGCTAACATTTAAGTTGACCAGTTGGCGTTTGTCACTTTTCATGTCGGAAAGGATAAACTAACAAACAAACCAAGCAATAAGGTTATCTTTACACTAACGTTTCCCCAGACAATCATGCTCCAGAATGAGATTCATGTCTTATTAGTTCAACTAGCTTTCATTACTAGGGCGAGGCCTAGCCTGTCTGACAAGGTTTGTGTCAGTTATGAAACACAAACACCGATTAGAAATAAATATCTTGCAAACAACCGATAGTAGAAGTCTAAAATTTACATCAAAACATAGCGGCAGAAGCAAAACCCAGACAAGCAAAAAAAAAAAACATAGCAAGCAGACAATATACAATGAACCACCTCCCCAACCACAGAGCAGAATGATAGACTCACCTGACCCTGCATGCCGGAAGAGCACTTGGCGGACATTTTGCGTTTGGTGTGGCTCTACAGCTGACCCCACTTCCTGCAAGTCTACGGTGCATCTTGTACTCGGAAATCCCACTGCCACCTACTGCCTGCAATGAGCCCTCACTTCCACTGCTCACCTGCAGGGGCTCAAGCGTCTCCACGACATCACTCATAAGAGGCCTTGCTTTCGGGTTATGGCTCAAGCAGTAGTATGCCAGGCTACAGGCCTTCTGAGCTGCTCTCACGGAATATTGATCCTCCAACCTGGGGTCAATGATTTGCAGTAGCTTTCTCTTGTCATTGAGCTTCGGACGAGCCCAGTCAACCAAGCTCTGCTCCTTACTTGGGCGTGCCTTATCCACAGATCGCCGACCTGTCAAGAGCTCAAGAAGGACAACTCCAAAACTGTAGACATCACTCCTGGCTGTCAAATGACCTGCTCATGCACAAACAGCAATTACAATCAAAATAGCAAATCACGTACTTCTATTGAGATACAATGGAGAATCACGAGGAAATAAGTATATATAATTAATCAGTTATTGAGAATTATGTATAACAAAATGAAAATTATGACATGGAAACAATTCCAAGATGATACCTGTCATGACGTATTCAGGGGCAGCATAACCATAGGTTCCCATCACCCTTGTTGACACATGGGTCTCATCACCCTCTGGTCCAGCTTTTGCAAGACCAAAATCAGAGAGCTTGGCTGTGTAATCCTGTAAAGAAGTTGATGGGAAAGAACAAATTGAAGGTGAATACCAAAAGCTACGTATGCAATTTTGAACAAAATTTGCATATAGAAACCAAGAAACCATAAATTCTAAAGAACCCCAGAAAAGGACCGGTACTTAACAGAGTCCAATAAAATATTCGAGGTCTTAAAATCTCGATAGATAACAGGTCTTTCAGCATTGTGAAGGAAAGCTAGCCCTTTAGCAGCACCAAGTGCGATTGACATTCTTGTTGCCCAGGATAGTGGAGCAGCTGCCTCTGAATGCCTCAAAGAAGAAAGCCAGGTTCAGATGGAAGTTTATCAGAGCTCACCAACAAAGAAGCATAATTTTTAATGGTGTAGAGAAATCATAACAAACAAGAAACTTCAAGTTCAAAGTCTAAATCAGCATCAATTATCAAAGTGCTAATTCCTTAAGCATCAACAAAAACCAAAACAGCTGAAAGAAAAATCAAACTGAAATCTTTGACAGAAGTAACATAGAGAAAATTTCAATAGAGTAAATTCCTTCTTATATCCCTCCATGATATACATCAAGGCCGCTCACGTGCATATGCTAATTAGAGGCAAAGATAACAAATCAGCACAGCAGGCCACCACTTTCCTTAACTACACCAATATGTCCTCTCATATGCAAACCATTGGTACATCATAAATATTTCAATCTCAACATCAAGTCACCAAATCTTATATTTCAACTAACTTATGATAAGATTGACAAATAATTTTGGTGGACAACAGACACAAACGGTCATACTACACAAATTTGTATGTACATTGGCAAAATTATGAGAAAAGCAGCAGTCCCACTAGCTAGCATAACTAGGAAAAAGGCATAAATGACATCAGATTTAAAAATATTTAAAAATTTCTTGTCGATTTTCATTAAGTGCCAACTTCTTGTCCATTTTCTTTTTCTACTTGTCATCTAGAACAGCAAAAAATAGAAAGCAGATACTGTCTTGCCAAGCTAATAAAATTAAGCATATCCAACAAGTCATTCACAAAGAGGCAAAATCCAAATCATTTTGAATTTTCACTTCCGTTTGCTGAAAACCCATTTCTGATATTATCTCGAATGTCAGACAGACACACAGATACTATCTCTCTCTCTCTCTCTACTTTGACAGGTTCTTTACTCCAATTTTAAGATCCAATTTCATTGAGTATTTTGTTATTGCAACAATAATTAGTCCACTTTATTTTATTTTTTATTTTGTTCCTTTCTAAAGACTCTAATTAACCTTGAGATATTTTATAGTTCTGAGAGTAGCTTGTTATACCAAGAACTTGACAATAGTTTATCTTTAAGCTTAGGCTTACAGAATAAATTCTGTCCATGACTAAGCTATGTTAGTATCTTGCTTGCAAGTACTTGCAGAACTTCTTTATTATGCTAGAAATGGGCCTAGGTTGGCTCCAGGCACAAAAAACTTAGGTTTCAGCATAGAGCAGCTCTAACCTTTATTCATTAATAATTTGCATGACTGATTTCTGAAATAGCATGCTTGGCTTGAGCCGATTTTCAATTGTAATTATTTCTTTGCTGATTAAATATTATACCAATCCAGAAGATTAATGCCATCAAATGAATCATACACCTCCATCCTTCTCCATTTCCATCTTCTTTCCCCTCCCTGAAATCGTTTTCACACTTATCCTTGTTCCCATCTTCCATCTCTTAGTTCCACATTTCATGTGTTGCCAAAAAAACAAAGATAAAGAACCCTTGTAGTTTCTTAATTTATTTATGCATAGAAAGCTCGAATTATAGTTCAATAAGGTCAAATCAGCTGCCATGGCCTTACTACTTTTTGCAACCCACTTATCAAGCATCATTTTGAATATTTGAAGAGGAAAATTGCTGTCTTAAATTGCTGAATGTCTCATTGTGACATCAGGGACAATATCAAACAACAAAATAATTTTGATAATTTAGAATATTGCACGAATAGAGGTGAAAGAAAAAGTAAGAAAGACTAAATAAACTTTTTTACGATATGTTATCAGACGATGAAAAAGACAATATTCCTCATATTTCTTTAATCATATTGTTTCAGTCTCTGACTTGTACAGCACCTCATCATTTAGATATACAGATTATTTTATTTGAACTGATGTTTAGACATTGGATTGTAGTTTATGATAGTTTCCTAACATTTTCTCCTTTGCTTAGATTGCACATGAACTGATGAATACTCTATCTACCTATAGGAAGTACAGTCAACAGAAGATTATATAGTTTGAAACTAAATACAACATTTCTATCTTATGCACAAGAAACCTGTGGAGAAGAATAAGTTCTAAAATAATTGCATAAGATTGTAAAAGAACAATAAGGGCATATTCTAATCTGTAGAAAATAATGTCAGAGTAATGTACTTCGAAACAAGTGGTTCTCAAGACTTCCACGGAACATGAACTCATAGACAAGAAGCCTATGATCATCTTCACAGCAATATCCGATCAACTTCACTAGATTAGGGTGCCTCAGTTGTCCTAGAAAATTAACCTCTGTCTGGTGACACAAGGATGTAAGTCAAAGTCAAAAACAACTCAACTAACCAAAGGCATAGATAAAATTATTTTGAAGAGAATCAGATTAAGCCAATGCACTATCTTATCTTACAAGCAAAATATGTACATGCATATCACAGAGGTTTTAATTTTGCTTGTTATATTGAGATGTTCCTTATGTTTGTTGAAAAATAAAACATAATAATTGACATTCAATCATAGAAAACAACATAGAAGTTCTTTTTGCAATTATTGATTGGAATATCCTGTCTATGATTCCTGTAATGGTTTCACATTTTTCAAAAATATGTCAACTCAACATGGAAAAGTCACACAGCTTAAGGCTGCATTGTTGGGCCCTGCCAAACTATGAGAACATAAAAGACTTTGCTAGCAATGTTCTATTCGTACCTCAAAGTCTAGAACACAATTTGCAGTTGAACCGTTCACAATTGCATGTCAAAAATGGATAGTAAAACTTTATATATTCTTAGTACCTTTGTTTCAAGTAGCAGGCATTAATCTCGGTAATTTTTTTACTAATTAATGATGGAGGTGCATAAGTTCTGAATTTGCTAAATGATTTAGGAGACAAATGCATCTTTTTGTTTCCGCATGAATACCAGCCAATAAAGATTAGCATCAACTATGGATGAGATGGCCAGATATTTGTCGCATATGAAAGAATAATCCAGATAAATTGCATAGCTTTGACATAACTTACTTTAGCACAAAGATCAAATAATAGACCAAGTGAGAACCAACTTACAAGCCATTCTCTATGCCCCTGATGACCATCTTTGTTGAGGACCTTAACGGCGACCGGAAGTGATTTGAGGCCAACTCTCACATTCTCATCTATATAACCCTTGTAGACAGCGCCAAACCCTCCTTCACCAAGAACATAATCTGGCCGGAAGCTCTTTGTAATCGTCTCTAGCTCGAACAATGTGAATGCTATCACATCATTGTATATTGCAATGTTTCTTGAATCCTCAATGTGTCGAGGAGTCGAGGGGTCACTCATATCTGAGAAAGTACGAGTGTGTTTTTTCTCTGGAAGAGCATTCTTAACAGGTAGTTGGAACATTTGGAGCTGCTGAACTGCACAAATAAATTTACACACACATTTAGATTAACCACTGATTCTACATAATTCTGAAATTCATGATGAACTGAATAAAAATGATGATTTGAAGAATACAGAAGATCTAAAATAAAGATTGGGGCAAGTGAAGTATAATGAAGATAATCAAATATATATCCTGCTCATTTCTACTTGCTACTTGATTCATTTTTCATTGGTGAGGCTGAGCAACTAAAATTTCTGCATACCAGAGAGAATCAAGCTGGAACACCAACAAGCAAGATCCTCGAAGTAGTTGCATGACAAACTAATTTACAAAACAAAGTTTGTTCCTTCCTCCGTAAAAAATTAAACTTGAGCAACTATTTACCAGAATAGCTCTAAACACAGAAAACAACATGAACTACCAGAAGACAATTATAATATAAACCGAAAAGGAATGAGATATTACAAAAATTACACAATAACACATCACTAGTGACGAAGAAGAGACGGAGACAAATAGGAAGAAAAGCAAACCCCATAAACTGAAACTGAAGAAAGAAAGAAACCTAAACCCTTTTCAAAAACCAGTTCATGAGGCCGATTCCAGCGACAAGATCCGACCTTTCCAAAAGCTCCAGACCAGATCGATTCACATCTAAGATCCAAACAACAATGCTAGCAAGAACCCATAAAAAAAACAGCAGGCAATTGGCAACGACCAAGAAAAAGTGGAATCTTCAAGCAGAATCAAAAGACACAATGCCGTCTCCGAACAATCCGATCCACAATCCGGGCAAACAACAGAATGGCTCAACGCATCAATCAGTAATCCTTGGGAAAGCACCAAAAGGAGGGAATTTTGGGGAAAGGGAAAGCGGAAGCTGTCACCTTGCGCATGAGCGGCGACGACGGCATTATCCTCTCTGGTTCCGCAATTGCCCATCTTTGAAACCTTCTTTCATTCTTCGCCAGCACCTAATCCCCTCTACTCCCAAGCGATGCCGAGCTTCATGCGGCTCCCCAAACCCCAGACGGAGGCAAGAAACCGGAAGACGCAAAAGACAGAGAAAAGAATTACGAGAAAGGTAACATTTTTTTCCCCTTTCTCCTTTGCAACGGGGAGTTCTTACAACGAGGCCACCCAACTCTACCACCTTCCCAAGATTCGCCTTTCAATTAAAGAGGGGAGGAATTCACCTGTGAGCGAGGGGTACGAGAGAGAGAGACTGTGTGTGTGTGCGCGCGCGCACTTGGGGCATGGCAGGAAGCAACATGTGATCCCATTCACCAACCTGGCTGGCCTTCCCTTTATACTCTCAGAAAACAACCAAAAGCACCTCTCTCTCTCTCTCTCTCTTTCTAACATGCATATATTTTATGCATTTTGCAACTCACACATACTTTGAACACTATCATGGCATTGGATTTTGTTGGGAGACACTCAAAAACTTTTAGATATTTACCAAAATTGCATGGCGTCCACGATCCCAAGGTTGACAGTCCAATCAATTGTCCCCTCTTTGAGAAAAAGAATCGGAAGGATCTCCTCTTTCTCATGCACTGTGTGCGCTTTCTTACAATTCAATGTATTATTATTAATTGATAAGGCAGTAAGATCCTTTCCTACCACCTATCATCATCAAAGGAAAAAGTTAGATGTAACATATTGGATCAACCAATGATTCAATAAATTATTAATATTTCAAAAAGAGCTTGACAAGCTAACCAAGTGTCAAACCCCAAAAAGAACATGCTCATTGGGATTAGCATCTGTTAGTTGTAATTGCAAGCAAATGGGACCATCTGTCTAATTTGTTGCTTAGCCATCTACCTCCAAACTTGATAAGCTAATTAAGTGCTAAACTTCAAACTCAAATGTTACCACATGCCCTGCACTAGATTAAGTGTGAGAGATCTGACACTAAGACAAACTTGTGTGGTATTATTTCTAGGGAATTATTCTGGAATTATAATTGTGAGGGAATGTGTCAGTGTAAGATTTACTATAAATCTTTCTTACATGTCTTTATTTTTTTTTCTCTATTTGGATATTATTTTTCCTGTAGGTTTCGGAGGCACAATCACTTTGGTTGTCTCAAATTTATGACAACAGTTTGCCTTTCCTTTTTCTATTGCCTGTTTTGTGATCCAACTTGTTGCACTCCATGACCCATCCAGTTGATAGAACCTTAGATCAATTGTAGGTCTCTACGTCCCATTGCATCAGTAGAATATGGCTGCTATGTTTCACCCTCTTCAGCTTTGGACTAAATCAATTGTACCCTTGATAGTGGTGAGAGGAAAAGCTTTGATTTGATGGAGTGGAGAAGACTTGTAAGGAAAAGGGGTTTGAGTGTCTCAGATTTCTAAATCCAAAAAGGATATGAATAGAACTTTGTAGATGGTGGAAAGGAGCTTCACAGGTAGGTGGCAAGATCACCTTTCTTAGGACAGAGGTGACTGCTGCTCCTCTAAGTGGTCAATTTCTTACTACCTATTAAAGTGGTATGGAATCAGAGTTCTTGAATTGCTAATAAATGATCTAATATATCTTGAAACATTAGGTTTAGAACAGAGATTTTGATGGAAGGATACAAGATTTTGAGAAGTAGTTTGGGAGAGATCTCGCAAGTAGTACTATGATGCAAAGATATGTAATACCGTACCGTATCGATGTTTCGAGGTTGGCTCGATACGGTACGGTATCGAGGTATCGATCAGTACACTAAGACATACCGAACAGTTATATATATATTTTTTCCTACTGTCGTACTATAGCACTGCTACAGTGTAATAATGTAGCATTATAACATGTTCTGTCTGGTACTGGACGGTACGTATCGCCCATATCGAACGGTATCATTTGATATTGTATACCATGTTACCATGAAACCAGTGAAAAGATAACGCCTGAGTTGTCCAAGATATATTATATATTATCATCACTTATATTGGATTGCCAGTGTCCAAAAAAGTTATAGCTTAATTAATTTTGAGCCCAAATAATAACTTAAATAATAACCCAAAATGGTATTGCATGATATCACAGGAAGAAGAGAATGTTTGAGTCTGACTCGAGCTCGAGTCCGAAGCTAATCCATCCCAATTTGCCACCAAAAAGGAGATATTGGGTTCCGTTTAGTGTGTGATTAAGACTCGATGGAGAGATCATTTTGGGTCCCTGTCGTTAGGAGGGAATGTCATCAATGGACGGTCGAGATGTGAAGATTGGATCAATGGAAGGCTGAGATAAGAATATTGACGGAAAGAGATTACTAAATCTAATTCGATATCTAGTTTGAATCTAATCCATCCCACTTTGCCACCCAAAAGGAAAGATTGGGTTCGGGTTGGAGTGTGACTAAGATTCGAGATCAGGGGGGATGCCATCAATGGACGGTGGAGATGTGAAGATTGGAACAGTGGAAGTCTGAGATACGACGATTGACGGACTTCGTTCGAGAAATACCAAAGAGAGAGAATGTTAGGTCTAATTCCGTCTCGAATCTGAACCAAACCAATTTGGGACCGAAAACAGAGATTGGGTTCGGGTTGGCGTGTGATTTAGACTCGAGAAAGAGATCGATCTCCGCAGCGATAATATTTGCATACATTTTGGGCTATATAAGGGGTGTAGCCAAGCCCGGAGGAGTGGGAGCTATAGGAACAGGGAAGTGGTGCGGAGGAGCGAGGATGAAGGTGATCGACAAGATACGGGGGGCGGCGGAGGGCGATGGGAGGACGGTGTTCTCCTTCGAATTCTTCCCCCCTAAGACGGAGGAGGGCGTGGAGAACCTCTTCGAGCGCGTGGACCGCATGGTCGCCCACAACCCCAACTTCTGCGACATCACCTGGGGCGCCGGCGGGTCCACCGCCGACCTCACCCTCGACATCGCCAACCGGATGCAGAACATGGTACGCAATTCCTCTCGCTGCTCAGGGAAATGTCGTCCTTCCTCTTTTTTCGCTTCGCCAGTGATTCTTCTTGATCGGTTAGTCACTGATTCTTTTGCCGAAAGATGGGTTTTTGATGCGTGTTTACTTGAATTGCATGTGGATCTCGCTTCAAAGTAGCCCAAATCTGTGTTATTTTCGGTATTAGTATAGATAAACTTTCCAGATCTGCTGTTCCTGTGCCAATGTTATTGGATCTGCATTCCTTGATGGTTGAATTTTGTCGTTCTCTATATGCTACCCTGCTTTTTGTTATTGCTGAAAGTTTGTGTTTTTATACAAAAGCTTCAAACTTGAGATCTGCTCTGAAGCAACGAGGTGGTTGAGATATCGTTTGAGTTGTTTATTTGATCTTATTTTCTTTAATCGGTTAGTGCTTCACATGCCTATTTCGTTTTGGTTGCAGATGCAGATTGTATATGGATTGTATGATATCTGTCATTTGAATGCTTGGAATAGAATGTTTCGCTGCACGTCATAATTGTGCTATTCTTGAGCTCGTCACTTCCTTAATGCAGATCTGTGTAGAAACTATGATGCACTTGACCTGCACCAATATGCCGGTGGAGAAGATTGACCATGCTCTGGATACCATCAAGGCCAATGGGATTCAAAATGTTCTGGCACTCAGGGGGGATCCCCCACATGGTCAGGATAAGTTTGTTCAAGTTGCTGGCGGATTTGCATGCGCCCTCGATCTCGTATGGCTCCTTTCTACTTATTAGTGCATTTTTTGAAGTAAGAGTACAACTCCCTTGAGATTGACCTTGTCAAGAGTCTTCTGTTATTTTAATTCTATTCAACTGATACTAAACAGATTCTTATATTTCATATTTTAGATGTTACTTATCGACTGATTAGATATCATTCTGTTTCTTTCAGGGAACCCCTTTTTAGTTGGTTAATTACTTATCATGCTTTTTGGCAATTATCATTTTGGACTTTGTGCTTATGCATGAGTGCTGCAATTAACTTGCAGGTGCAGCACATTCGTGCTAAGTATGGGGACTACTTTGGTATCACTGTTGCTGGCTATCCAGGTTAGGAAAAAAATTCTAGTCCAACATGGTATCATCTTGGTTCTTTATATCGATTGTGATTGTTACTTATAAAAGATATCTTCTGTTTTAGAGGCACATCCTGATATGATACAAGGAGATGGAGGTGCTACACAGGAAGCCTATAACAATGATCTTGCTTATTTGAAGAGAAAGGTTGCTCTTTATTCTCGTTAATTATGATTTGCTTAATATTACACTCTGGTTCCGATTGAATGAGTAATTATTTTAACAGTTATGCTCAACAAAGTTCACTAGGTTTTAGTTTATGTTTATATTTATGTGGAACCTTTGATGTCACAGAAGAATATAAAGGATATTGAGTTTATGGAACTTGATTTAAAAATATTCATGCTCATGGGCGAGAATGAAGATATTTCATGGCATGCATACGTTGATTGTTTTCTTATTGGTCTTAAATATTCTGGTGAGGCCACAATTGTCCGTTTTATAATGTATCAACTTGGTTTATGCTTGAAGTCAACAATTGCGTTGCACATGCCTCTTATTAAATGCCTTTTAGATAAGGTAACCATGATATATTAGTAGACATCCTAAAATGGACTTGGATCTGTGTAAATTCTTGTAGTTATGTCTATGGAATATGCCATAGCAGAAATTGTTCATGCCTCGTCACATTTTCCCACAGATTCATATTAGTGCCACTTCTAGTGTGCTTGTGATCTAACTACTCTATGCTACTTTTGTCACTGCAGAAATTTGATTTTCTTTTTTTGTGGACTCAGTTGGTCAAAAGTTAAACCTTGTGTGAGACTTAGACGTCTTAAAATCACATCTCTGCTCGGTTGTGATTTATCAATCTTAACTGGCTAATTTATGTTAAGAATACTATTCAGTCTCTAGAGATTAATGGTTACAACAACTCAAGCTTTCGACGTCACCTAATTGTTTCACTAATATTACTTTTCTGCTTTTTATAACATCTTTCAGTTGATCTATCGCTCTCCCATCTCTGTCTATCCCTTGAACAGGTGGATGCTGGTGCTGACCTTATTATCACTCAGCTATTCTATGATACTGATATATTTCTGAAGTTTGTCAATGATTGTCGTCAAATTGGGATAACTTGTCCAATTGTACCTGGCATCATGCCAATCAACAACTATAAGGGCTTCTTGCGAATGACTGGGTTTTGCAAAACTAAAGTAAGTACTGTTGTTCTGTAACTTCTATCTCTATTCTTATTATGGAATAGCATTTTGGAATTATTAAAGAAGGTAACGTAATCAATGACTTAGGCATATTTCTGTCAACCATGTGCACAATG